AGGTTTACCATACATTGAAAGTCGAAAAGTGTTAGAAAACCAGCACAGGTAGTTTTTCGAACAGTCCAACAACGATCTTTGTGGAAGTGGATGATGGGGCTGAATATGATTGTAAATTACTAATTATAAGCTACACTGAACAGCAGCCTATCAAGCGGGGATATGGATGACTCTACGATATTAATTGTTGCGAGGAACTGTGAGTAATCTCGCAAGTTGGGTGAGTCCAGTGGAACTGGTGGTTCAAATGATTTGGGGACGAGAGATAGGGAAAAACCTGAGGTGCATGATTGTGTTGTATTTTGTTGTTCCAGAAAGAGAGGAAAATTCAAAATGAGTTGTAGCCAGCTTGAGTCCTATTGCGGACGCGGAGCGATCTCCATCTGCTGTAAATGTGGCTTGGATACGCTTGAACAACGTGACTCAATACCACTGAGTAAAAGATATATTTACAAGATGGTATAGGTATAGGTATCGTGAATAATTCACTATGCACATCTATTCTCAAAGCCGTTCGTAACCGTATTGATTGCCCTCCACAGAATAATGAGGACGCGTAATTGAGCTCAAGTCTGTGTTTCCTTCTTCGCTGTTCTTGCGGAGCATATCAGTCGCCATATGGAATTATTTTTTTTAACGCAGAGTGGACTAATTTAGTGATCTCCTGAAAACAGCTGGATTATAGGTATTGCTGCAGTACAAGCGGCAGGTGAGGAAGTAGAAAATTCGACAAAAAACTTTTCCTTTTCCCGAGAAAAGGCAAACAAAAAAGAAACAACGGCACATTGCACCCCGCCAGACAAGTCCAGCTCTTTCACCGATGATGAACAGCACCATGCTGGGATATTGGTAACTTAGTGAGAGTACTAGTGGGAAAATTGATGACCGCCTTCGGGATGCGGCTTGCACGTTAGCCTTGGGGTAACTGCCACCATGTTCGCTTTCTCGTGTGCAGATTTTGGCATGAGGTAATGAAAAATGTTGGAGTTTCCATGAACAAACCACATTTAGGTTTTTTCCAGTAGAAGCCTAACTCACATATCTACAGCCGACTGCCGAGTTTTAAACTTGCCCGGCCTATGTTCTCATACTGACGCTCGACATCTGTCCTTGAAGATGCTGCGCATAATCGACAAATCAGAGTTGAATAAAGTAGCAATAACGGGCATTGACGCCATGGTTTCGAATTTGCTGCAAAGTATGGGGGTGTTGGTCATTCATGGTCATTCTGCAAGTACAGACAGGCCGATGGCGTTGGAGGACACAACAAAAATAACTCTAGTGGACCGCACGGGGTTCCATTATTAATTTCCGGCTCGGTTGGGTTGGAAAAAACAAAATGGTGTTGATTTATGCGCACATTGCCCACTGGCGCACCGTGGTAACCTCATGAATTTAAGGATTGCGAGTGGTCCAGCTTCTTCCACCCATAGCACTTGAGGCTGACCCAAAATATTGGATTTGATACCATGTGAGATGTATTACTAGCGATACTAAGGAAGACGGTACGAATGTCTTAGCTTGGGTCTTTCGGTAGGTAGGCTCAATAAGCCTTTTCGTGCAACGCTGGCTGTGTGTTGAGCCCTGGATTACTTCAGTGGTTTGATGGAGTTGGCAAGAGAATGAGAATATTACGCTTTGGCTCCTGACCCGATTCCAGAACAATATTGTTTCTGTGAATACACTGCTGCGTCCAGGCTCACGCCCAATCAACAGAATCAGGCCTATCAATCACGGATTCACGGATTGATACACAGGATCGAGGCTTTTGCCCAAATTTTCCGAGGCACTTTTGCTCTTGCCGGCCAGTGGCCATCGTTCACCTGAAAGGCACAAGTGAAAAAGGGTGTAGCACTGCTCTTTACTTTCGCAGCGCGGAGCAGTATGCTTGCCAGAGCGAGGATTCGCATAAATAAATGTCTAATAGTGCCTCAAACTGGGTTCGAGAAGGAGCGTGTACAACCGTCGGAGTAGGGTCATTCCACGCAGTTACTACCCGAAAGGAAAAAAGGTTTTGTCTGATGAACGTGTGTGCCCTGAGCTTGAAAATTTTCTTACTATGTC